AGAAAGGCGTTTGCGACATCGATTTGTCGTAGCTTTTTCTTCTTCATGGCGGCGATCGCGAGGAGAATGCGTAGTGAGGTGTGTCGGCTGACCGGAGCAAAGGTTTCGGTGAAGTCGCGTCCGTGTTCTTGGTCGAAGCCGCGTACGACCCAGCGCGCCTTGAATTTGTCGATGGTGCCATCTGCTTTCGTCTTCACGCGGAAGACCCATTTTCCGGTGAGAATGGTCTTGTTTCGTGCTACGCCGATAGGAACGATTTTCCAGGTGTTGCGTTCTTCTAGCGCTTTCAGCTCCTTGTCCATGGCTTCACGCCATTTTTCCCTGTGCTCCCCCCCAGAGCCTGCTGAACTGTTGCAGGCTCCTTAGGAATGGCGGCGCCGTGGACTGCGGTGACGAGCCCGAGTATCTGGAGTCCACTCTGTGTGTAGCGGGGGAGTGTGGTGTCCTCGGGATAGACTGCCTCGTCTCCAGCTTCTGGATCAGGTGCGAAGTTGGGCCCTATGCGTTCTGCTTCGTTGGTGTTGACTTCAGCAGGTGTAACGTAACCGTTGTCGGCGAAGTGGTAGTAGGTTTCGGCGTTGACGCTTTCGCGAGGGTTATCTTCGTCCATCGGTACGTCCACTGAGCAGTAGGGGAGAGGTCCGGCTTCTTCCGAGGCTCCTTCCACGTTCTGCTCGTCCCAGTCAGCTTCGTCTCCTGCCGAAGCGAAGGCTCGATCGCCACGGAAGCCACCTGTGGGGTCTCGATTTTCGTCCAGGTTGGCAAGGTATGTTGGCAGTGTGAGCCGCTCGTAGAAAATGACATCACGTGCTGCTACTGTTTCCTTGGTGTGGATGTCGAAGATTTTCCACGCGTTGTAATGTTTTTCGATGCCCAGGTGTAGTCCCCACTGTGCGCGTTGGGAGAATCGGCCGGCTCGTGCAGATGGGGGTCGGTACTGTACCATGCAGCCGAAGACTCGTAACATTTTTGTGCTGCCCAGTTTCCCTGTCCACAGCAGATGCGGTGATGCGTTGTTCGGGAGTGACGACGAGGAAAGCAAGTTGTGCAGCATCACGGCGTGGTCCATTGCTTCGGGCCACTGGTGGTTGGGTAGCCGCATGCCACGTAACAGTTTGCGCATGGTGTTCTGCAGAGTCCTGTTCATCCTTTCTGCTACACCCTGCTGTTGATGGGCGTAGGGAAGGGAGATGAGTCTCTTGATTCCCTTCTCCGCCAGGTACTGCTTGAACCGCTGTGACGAGTATTCTCCTCCTCCGTCTGATTGAAAACTTTTGAGCTTAGCTCCTGATTCCCGTTCTGCTGCTGGAAGCCATGCCACGAAAGCCTCGAAAGCCATGTCGCGACTTGGTAAGTTTAGGTGCCAGACGTAACGTGTAGCGGCGTCGATGAAGGTGATGGTGTAGTTATACGCGTTTTGTCCGGGTTCGCGGTTGTACAAGATGTCGCTGTACACTTTCTCGAGTGGTGAATATGCAGGTGCGCTTGGGTTGTGATGCGAGACGAAGGGCTGATGCGGTAAGTCAGCTTCGGGGCAGGTGAAGCACGTTCCTCGGGCTCGCTGAAGTTCTCTGCCGTCGATCAGTAAGAGTGAATCCTTGTCAAGTACTCCAGCTCTTATCGTGTTGTTTAATGCTGTGTTGCTTGGGTGTCCCATTCTTGCGTGCCAGGTTTCTTCGTTGGCGCGGTGTCCTGGCGAGCGTCGGTACATGTCGGAGTTGGAGTAGAAGCCGGCGATGATGTTCGCGCTTCTGTGAACTTCCCGTGGTGCCGGGTTGAGCTGCTGCGCCGGTGTTGGCGGCGTCTCGTCGATGGAGGGCTGTGCCGTTGAGGGACCGGTGACTGGTGTTGATGTTTCTGCTGCTGCTGCTTTTGTCTGTGCTGCTGTCGATGTTGTTTCTGCTGCTGTCGATGTTGTCTCTGCTGCTGCCAATGTTGTCTCTGCTGCTGCCGATGTTGTCTCTGCTGCTGCCGACTATTGAATTGTCGCCAGCGCCCTTGTTCTTTCTGTTTCAGGGATGGTGTGTGAGTACCAGAAGCCGCTCGGGCTGAAGTCTGGATCAAGATCTGGAGGATGTGTCCAGTCAGTGAAGTTGACGATGGCGTCGCTGTCGGCCGTTCCGAGATCGGGGACGAAGTCAAGAACGAAGACGTTGTTCTTGAGAACCGCCTTGCCGATGTAGAGACCTCCTCTCCCGTGGTACAGCTTGAATTCCTGGGTTGTGCTGTCTGCTTCAAGGTGAATGCCTTTCGCCATCAGTTGACTGACGCTGAGTAAGTTGTAGCCGAGGCCTTCTGCAATTAAAACCTTGGACATCTGTAGAATGACGTTCGTTTCTCGTGACTGAAGTTGAACAACTCCTTGTCGTCGTGTGCGCAGGTTCTGATTGTTGGCGACGGTGATGACCACCTCTCGTTGAAGCTGGTATTCTCGTTGTACGAAGCGTCCTGAGGAGCACATGTGTTGTCCGCAGCAACTGTCCAAGAACCACGTGTCCTTCCCGGATGGCTCGTTTTGGGCTATGGCAGCGTATGTCGGGTTCGGCTGAAGTGACTCGCGGCGTGGTGTCGTTTCGTCGAGTTGCTCTTCTGGTGAGTAGTACGGTGGTGATTCTGTGATGCAAGAATCGTTCAGTCTTGCCATGCAGCTAACGATGTTTCTTGTTCCTTGCGCAGGTTGTCCCGTTGGAGTTGTTGAAGATTGGAGCTGGGTCGTTGGATTCGCCTGTGTTGATGCGACTTGATTGCTTGAAGGTCGTAGCTGTCGCTGCGGAGTCGTTGACTGTTGTCGATTCGGGCAGTGCGTGCGCGGGTGTCCTGAAGTCTTGCAGATGTGGCAGAAAGGAGGTACTGGCTTCGGTTGTTGCTGTCGATTGTTGTAGTTGTTGTGACGTCGTTGAGTGTGAAACGCGAACTCTGATGTTGTCGTCTTCTTTCTGTGTCGTTCTTCTTGCAGGTCCATGTCCTGCTGCTCGGCGTGGATTTCGGCGCAGAGTGCTGCTTCAGAAATTCTGCCGTGGGCTCGGAGGATAGCTTTGGTGGCGCGCCATTGGGGACCGAGACCACCAATGATGACTGTCACGAAGGCGTCTTCAGAGATTGACCCTCCGCATCGAAGAAGCTTGTCGCGCAGTTCCCGACATCGGCTGATATACGTCATTCCCTTTTCTCCCGGTTTCATTTCGACTGTTGTCAATTGCGCCATTAACCTGCTCTGGTTTACACTGTCTGTTGCTTGGTACAGGCTCTTCAGGTGGCTGTACGCGAGCTCAGCGGAGTTGCCGTAACCCCGGTAAGAGCGTATGTTTTGCTGCTGAGTTGGTGTGACGTTCCTCAGCAGAATCGTATACGCCATCATCGATTGATACGTATACTGCTGCTTCTCATACTGTGTGCCGTTTATTGGATATTGCAGGGACCCGTCGAAGAAGCCGAGTATCTGCGCGCCTTCCATCATTAACTCGAACTCGAATGACCAGGTGAAGAAGTCCTTTCCGTCGAAGGGCCTTGATGTCTGCAGCTTTAGAACGTGCGCGAACTGTGATTGCACTTGTAACGCGTCCAGTGGTTTATCTTGTCCAGGTGAAGGCTGCGGCATGAAGCTGATCGACCCGCGCTCGTACGGGGCGAAGGTAGGTTGCTGCTGTTAGTTTCCGCGCGCATATGACGACCCGTCAAGACTCATGGGTGTTGCCCTGTTGTTGTTGTTGCTGTTGTATGACTGTGCAGGTCCCGACTGCTGGTGCTGCTCGTAGAAGGACATGAAGGAGAAGAACTTCTCCATCATGTTTTGGTCGAAGCTGGCGGGGTGATTTACGGGAGTTTCAGTAGATGTTCCTCTAGGTCTTGTTGCAGTGCCCTCCTCTGTCTGCAGGCCAGAGGCAGGAGGTGGAGTAGGAGTAGTGCCCGGGGAGCCGTTGGAGGAGCTCCTTTCCTTGTTTGTTGCCATGTCTTGTAATGACTTGATAGTAGTGGAGTTTCCCCTGTTAGCTCTCATACCATGTTGGGCTGAGAAAAGCCCTTAGGATCTTTGCGGGGGTAAAACTCCGGTAGGACTATGTAATAGCGGAAGCGTATTAGTGGAGAATTTGTGAACCACCTTGCGCTGGTATGTGAGGGCAAAGTAAGTTGATTATAGCAAAGGGATACAAGAATATATAGAAGATTACAAGGAATACGAAAGGATATAGTTGTAACTACTTTTGCTGTTGCGGTTCGATACAGTGACGACTCGGGCAACTGCTCTGTAACGAGTCAGTTGTGTGTCCTTGCTGTCGCGCTGCACTTGTCAGGTCAAAGGTCGCTTGACCTTTGACTTTCGCGTAACCTCCAGCAACCTCTTTTAACCTCCGAGGGTTGACTCGCGGGTGCTTCGATATGGCGTGCTTCGCTTCTGGTGTGGTGTTTCGACACGACAGAGGCGTTTACAATTTATTGTTTCCAACAGAATGCACTGGGTGTCAAACGAGTACAAAATATGAGCGAAGGCATGAGCGAATACTTATACGCGAAACATGCAAACGGTAACGCGGTGCGTGCGAGCTAGCTAGTGCTAGGCTGGCATCGAGGTTCGGGCTAGTCCAGAAGCATAGGCCGACTCGGCCGGGCCAGCGGCGCATAGTTTGGTGAAATAGTGCGCGCGAAGCTTGCGAATCTTCGCGAACAACGGCTGCTGCTGTTCGCGATGTTGGCAGGTCGCGGTAAGGAATGTCGAGAAAATTCCTTACACTAACCTTCTATTCTCTCATGTTTTGACGATGTAAACGAACTTAATGATGTTGATGGGAAGGCAATCACAGGAACTGTAGGTTCAACGTTGTGAACATGATCTCACTTCATGTTTCTTTGCGCATGATTCACTCTCTATCTTCAGAGTGCCCGTTACAACAAAGTATTCCCTCAACATAATGCAAACGAAAATATTCTAAGAATGAACCCTTCACCCCATAACTGTAAAAAAAACCCCAGCCAAGAAGTGTACAGAGCCACGACCATGGATTCTAGCTCTGAATGCCTGCATAGCCCTTCTCCTCCAGCTGTGACGCCAGAGATGCATCGCCAGTCAGCACGATGCGGCCTTGCTCCTGCACACGCACCAAGATACCATATGAAACAGCATGCGTTGGGGGAGCCAGGGTGAGAAGAACAAGCTCCAATAGTGAGATGATATTTTGAGTCGCGAGACCGTCTTTTGAGTCGTGAGACGATCTTTTGAGTCGTGAGACGATCTTTTGAGTCGTGAGACGATCTTTTGAGTCGTGAGACGATCTTTTGAGTCGTGAGACGATCTTTCAATCGACTCTAAAGTCGACTCCAGCTGTGGCCTTTTCCGGCCTTATCTCTGAGAGAATTGACCGCAGTGGCCACATCTCGGAGCGCGTCCACGTCCAGCCCCGAGTCGATCTCATCGAGGATCGCCAGCTCAGCGTCCAGCACGGCGAGCTGGAGGATCAACCTACCTTGTGAGGGAGAGAGATAGAGCGCTGCAGGCGGAGGAGGAGTGTATGACCGTGCTCACCATGTTGTGGATATAGTCGGGCTTGATATAATCCAGCAGGCGCTGGTAGTGCGTGATCATCAGCACAGCTTTGTCCGGCGTCTTGAGGGAGTTCACAGCAGTGGCAACGTCCCTCAGAGCGTCCACGTCCAGTCCCGAGTCGATCTCGTCCAGGATGGCCAGCTCAGCGTCCAGCACGGCGAGCTGGAGGATCCCCACAGCCAGCCCATACACACACGCTCCCAACCCACTGCCTGTGCTGCGCTCACCATGATGTGGATGTAATCGGGCTTGATATAATCCAGAAGTCGCTGGTAGTGCGTGATCATCAGCACAGCCTTTTCCGGAGTTTTCAGCGAATTCACAGCAGTGGCGACGTCTCTGAGGGCGTCCACGTCCAGCCTCGAGTCGATCTCATCCAGGATGGCCAGCTCAGCGTCCAGCACCTCTGTACACATGCCCTATTCCGTCCAACCACCTCACTTTGACTGTGCTCACCATGATGTGAATGTAGTCGGGGCGAATGTAATCCAACAGCCGCTGGTAGTGGGTGATCATCAGCACGGCTTTGTCCGGCCGCTTCAGGGAGTTCACAGCCGTAGCAACATCCCTCAGCGCGTCCACGTCCAGCCCCGAGTCGATCTCATCCAGGATGGCCAGCTCAGCGTCCAGCACGGCGAGCTGCAGGATCTCGTTGCGCTTCTTCTCGCCGCCGCTGAAGCCCTCGTTCACGTTGCGCTGCAGGTACTTGAGGTCCATGTTCAGCTCCTCGAGTTTGGGGCTGAGGAAGCCGTAGAACTGCGAGAAACAGGGAGGGTGAGAAGGAGGGACAGGGAGAGGGAGAGGCCACACACACAGGGTTGAAAAAACGCCTTCAAACGGCTCAGATTTGGGGCTCTGGCGGGTGTGGGCGTGGGTGGTGGGCGTGGCCGCTGAAGCCCTCGTGCACGTTGCGCTGCAGGTACTTGAGGTCCATGTTCAGCTCTTCCAGCTTGGGGTTGAGAAAGCCGTAGAATTGGGAGGGAGCAGGGAAAGAAGAGGATACAGGATGTGGGTGGTGGCCGCTGAAGCCCTCGTTCACGTTGCGCTGCAGGTACTTGAGGTCCATGTTCAGCTCTTCCAGCTTGGGGTTGAGAAAGCCGTAGAATTGGGAGGGAGCAGGGAAAGAAGAGGATACAGGATGTGGGTGGTGGCCGCTGAAGCCCTCGTTCACGTTGCGCTGCAGGTACTTGCGGTCCATGTTCAGCTCTTCGAGCTTGGGACTCAGGAAGCCGTAGAACTGGGGACCGTTTGGGGGGGATGGACGGGTGGAGATGGGTGAAGAGCGGTTAAATGATGCATGTAAAACTCCCCCTTCTTCCAACCCCCTCCACCCCCTCGTTCTCCCTCGTTCACGTTGCGCTGCAGGTACTTGAGGTCCATGTTCAGCTCCTCCAGCTTCGGGCTGAGAAAGCCATAGAACTGCGAGAAAAGAGGGGGAGGAGGAGGGACAGACAGGGAGAGGGAGGGGCCACACGCACATGGTTGGAAAAACGCCTTCAAACGGCTCAAATCTGGGGCTCTGGCGGGCATGGAAGGGCCACACCACCTGCCCCTCCATCCAACCCCCTCGTTCACGTTGCGCTGCAGGTACTTGAGGTCCATGTTCAGTTCTTCCAGCTTGGGGCTCAGGAAGCCGTAGAACTGGGAGAGGTAGGGGAGCAACGGAGGGAAACAGATGGGTAATGTGAAGCCCTTGTTCACGTTGCGCTGCAGGTACTTGAGGTCCATGTTCAGTTCTTCCAGCTTGGGGCTCAGGAAGCCGTAGAACTGAGGACCGTTGGGGGGGATGGACGGGTGGAGATGGGTGAAGAGCGGTTTAATGATGCATGTAAACCTCCCCCCCTCATCCACCCCCCTCCACCCCCTCGTTCTCCCTCGTTCACGTTGCGCTGCAGGTACTTGAGGCCCATGTTCAGCTCCTCGAGTTTGGGGCTGAGAAAGCCGTAGAACTGGCAAGGATTGAGGGGAGGAGAGAGAGAGGGAAACAGGTGGGTGATGCAACGAGATAAACTCCCTCGTTCACGTTGCGCTGCAGGTACTTGAGATCCATGTTCAGCTCCTCCAGCTTGGGGCTCAGGAAGCCGTAGAACTAGGACGATGAGGGGAGAGAGAAGGGGAGAAGACATGGAGAGGGCGAGAAACGGAGGTAGAGAGACACACCAGGTTGAAAGACGCCTTCAAACGGCTCAAATCTGGTGAGGAAGCGTACAACTGGGAGCGATTGGGGGGAGGAGAGAGGGAGTGTGGGTCAAAGACAGCATATAAAAAGGTCTCCCTTTGACAGGCCCGAATTCTGGATTTCGTTCCTTCACACACGAGGTGGTAAATTCAGGATTCCATGCTCTCACTTTCCACCCCAGAGCATATCCCTCATGCCTCACCTCATGTGACATGTGACATGTCTGCCCTTATTCTCATCCTCTCTGTCCCCACTCCCGCTCATACTCCTCCTCAAGCTTGTTCGACCCTCCTTCCCTCAGAATAACGCTTCTCACTCCTCGGAACTCGCTTCGAGAGGCTCCATTTCGGGCAGCCCTTTAGTAGCAATAGACGGCGGGATATGATTGCTGACTTGCGCACCACTCACTACCGCACCTCACCTCGAGAGGTTCCATTTCGGGCAGCCCTTTAGCTGCCCGGCGCGCGTTGCACGAGAGGCGCAGGAAGTCGACGTTGTTGACTCCGGGCAGCTCAACAGGCGACTGGAAGGACAGAAACACGCCCGCGTGGCTGCGCTCCTCCGGCTCCAGCTCCAAAAGATCCTCCCCGCGGTACGTCACACTCCCACCCGTGATCTCGTAGTCGGGGTGGCCCACCAGCACCTGCACACGGAGGGAGTTGGGAAGGAAGGGACTTCAGACGGGTGGAGGACTGGAAGGACAGAAACACACCCGCGTGGCTCCTCTCCTCGGGCTCCAGCTCCAGCAGGTCCTCCCCGCGGTAGGTGACTGAGCCTCCGGTAAGTTCGTAATCCGGATGGCCCACCAGCACCTGCCAGGGGGAAGGGGTGGAGGGAGCGAGGGAGGGAGGGAGGGGTGTGGCACCTCTCCTCGGGCTCCAGCTCCAGCAGGTCCTCCCCGCGGTAGGTGACTGAGCCTCCGGTAAGTTCATAATCAGGGTGGCCCACCAGCACCTGCCAGTTCCAGCAGGGTGGACGGAGGGAGGGAGGGATGTGGCTCCGCTCCTCGGGCTCCAGTTCCAGCAGATCCTCCCCGCGGTAGGTGACGGTGGCCCACCAGCACCTGCCAAGGGGGAGGTGTGGAAGGAAGGGGCGCGTTGTTGACAGATTCTTCCCGCACTAGGTGACGCACCCGCCTGTCACCTCGTAGGCGGGGTGCCCCGCCAGCACCTGCAGAGCAGAGGGAGGGAGTTGAGAATGAGGGTTCGACGAGGAAAGAAGCATGCCTATTAACGTGACTCCGCTGCTCGGGCTCCAGCTCCAACAGATCCTTCCCGCGCTAGGTGACGCTCCCGCCTGTCACCTCGTAGGCGGGGCGCCTCGCCAGCACCTAAATCCGGCCATCATTTAATTCGATTTCGTACGGGGGGAAGGCGGGGGATGGCGAGGGAGGGGGGTTGGGTTGAAGAAAAGCAGGTGCCGTGGAGGGGTAAGCGGACGTTGAGAAGGGATTGCACTCTCCTGAAAGTGACTTCAACAATTACAAGTTACGGCGGGTCTCACTTTCGAGAAGACTTTAACAATTACGACGAGTTACGGCGGGGTCTCACTTTCGAGAACGTGCTCTTCCCCCAAGCCGTGCCGTGCTTCCATGAACACGTACACCTGAGAATGTACCATGCACCAGACAATGCACCTGAAAATACACCTGAAATGGACCTGGAAGTAACCTGAAGGCTCTCCTTTTCAGATGCTAGAATGCGATTCAAACGGCCAGGTCTCACCTTAGAAGAGTGTGCTCTTCCTAGAGCCGTTCTTCCCCATGATCGCGTGTACCTGAGGATCCACCTGAAAATGCACCTGATAATGTCCTTAGATGCTACAGTGCCGTCAATAGGCGGAGTCTCACCTTAGAGAGAGTGCTCTTTCCAGAGCCGTTCTTCCCCATGATGGCGTGCACCTGGAACAGCATTTCCACCGCGCGGGAAAGAAACCGGACAGGAAGGCAAACGCGAAGGAACACGCAAACGAATGTGAGAAAACGTGGTAGTACTCCGACTTTAGAGGCGTATCAGAACCTGGAAGGGCATTCAGCTAGTCTCGATTCTAATTACTTGCGAATTCAGACAGTTCTGTGGTTAGAATATGTTGAAAGTGGGTACGCCAAGCCCATACACCCGCTGTTAAGTACAACTACGACACACTTAACACGTTACAAACGAATAACTTGACGTCTGAATAAAATTGAGGTCGACGTTTGAATTGTGTACCGCGAGCTCTCACCTCGCCTTCGCGAATGCAGAGGTCGACGCCATGAAGAATTTCTTTTCCGGATTCAGCAATAACGGCTTTCAGGCCCTTCACTTCAAGCATCACAGGCCGCTCCGTCGCCTCCGCAGCCGGCGCTGCCGCTCCCTCGAGTTGCGCGTCGACCGCCAAAGCTCGGGTCGTCGCGCCGCCGGATGCGCTCCATCGTCCCTGAAATCCCGCCGCGAATCGCGGAGCTGAGATAGAGACAGGAGCTAGCGAAACTCTGCTTGCTGTTTGAAGTTGGCGTTGAAGCTGGGTTTGCTTCGCGGCAGGTGTGGATTTGATGCCAGATAGAGAGTGAGACGAGATTGTTGCGGCCATTGCGGAATCGAAAGGGATGAAAATCCGACAAGCGGATTACGGTGCACGCACGATTCGTGTGACTAGGGTGTAGCAACCAAACGATACGACGCTTAGAGCTCTAAGAAACGAGAATCACTTATTGGACCCTCGTTCGAGCAGCTCCAGTCTAGGGAAATGTGGTTTGAGCATAAAACTAGGAGGTAATTTTAGAAGACCCTCGAGATTGATCGCAATTCAGATGCCAGAACCCAAGCCTTTCCTGCTGACGGTGCGGGGAAATCTAGCGAACGGTCGGATCTTGAATGGGCTGGAGCGACTGACGGCTAGATGTGCAGTTCATGAAGGTTAGTGGGGGTCATATGCATGTACTCAGAGCCACGTGGCTTGCATAACACATCCACAGGCTTCGAGTCTGGATTGTGTCATCTGTGTGGCGCTGGGATTACTGGTTCGATGCTTTCAATGCCGCGGCAATTTCACGGCCATTTTCAGGTGCATGCAGCTTAGTCGAGACGCGTTATTCAGGTGCATGCCAGGTTGCTTACACTTTTCTCAGGTTAAAAAATGTCTCTCGTAAATTAACACGCAGTTCAAGATTCGATTAAAATTGGCACAAAAGGTCTGAAATAGATGCAATTTCGGGCTACGCAAATTGGAATCGGAATGGTTGGCTCTCGATGCTGCATTTTCTGACGTAACTCAGTGTAATGATTGCATTTTGTCCAATTTATACGCAAATTTCTGCTTTGCACCAACTCATTTCGAACGAATCTAATGCTAGATCTGTTGTACTTTTGACGCAGATGACGGACGCTGCGCATGGCAAATCAGCAAACCCTTCGTGAGTGTTTGTATATTTTGCCTCTACCAAACTAAGTTTGCCGTACGTGCATATTGAAATAGGTGGTATTCAACGGCCTTAATTACGTGGCATTAAATATACATGTAACATACGATATCCTCAATAGCGGTAGGGGTAACTCACTCTTAACACTCGGACATATTTATCGTGTTTCGGACTACCCTTTTCAAGCAATGCACGTCCCACTAGAGTTTGCTGATTTGACCCGCGAAGCGTCCGCCACCTGCGCCAACAGTACAAACGATTTAGCATTACAATCCGTTCAAAAAGATTTGGTGCGAAGCAAAAAATTGCGTAGAAACTGGGCAGAAATGCAATCATTGCACTGAGTTACGTCAGAAAATGCAGCATCGAAAGCCAATCATCCCGATTCCGATTTGCGTATTCCGAAATTCCATCTATTTCAGACCTTTTGTGTCAATTTTTATCGAATCTTGAACTGCGTATTCATTTACGGGAGAAATTGTTTAACCTGAGAAAAGTGTACGCAACCTGGCATGCACCTGAATAACGCGCCTCGACTAAGCTGCATGCACCTGAAAATGGCCGGCAATTTCAAGGTTACGCTTCGGAAGAGCCATGAAGTTTGGGTGTTCTGGTATTCATGAATTGTTGACGTGGAAGCATTTGGTTGGAGAAGGGGCTTCGTCAGTCCGTTCGAGAACGCATCCAGTAATGCGTTTGATCTGGACAGAAGTGTAAGGAATTTTCCCGAATTCCTTATCGGGGTTGACTGCTTCGCGTACAACCCGATTTTCGGACTTCGCACGTTCGGCCGATTTCAACGCTGCCGAGGCTCCTCGCGTCGCCTTCGGCATTTCCCATCGCCAAACCTGCACCCAACCTCGCTCGTCCAAAGTTCCCTCCTAGCTAGGCTAGCCCTACATTAGTCTGTGCATTCATTGTATTCTCAGTTCATTCAGTCACAGCCTCGTTATTCGTTTACCTGCGCACTCTCTTTTACAACTCATAACAGGAAGGGAGTGAAGATCTACACCGCACCAGTATAATGTACAACCATGCTATCATGTTCTGAAGAAAAAACCAATAGCTCCAATGCTGAACTGAAACATCACAACGTAACAGCACAGTGCATTAATAATGACATAACAGCACAGGGTACTAAACAGCTTTTGGGCTCATAATTACTGATCTGGATGCATCCTAGCCATCTGATTGTCGTACACCTTCCAGTCTCCCTTCACTTGCACTGTTACACCAGCCGCAAACCCATGCGCTTGTGCTGATGGTTCTCCTGGGGCCACTGCTGCTGCTTCTGCTGCACCTGTTGGTGCTGCTGGTAATGATTGTGAAAGCTGTGCTGGGTATTGCTGCTGCTGCTGCTGCTGCTGCTGCTGCTGCTGCATTGGTGCTACTGAAAACTGTGAAGATGGTGAAATGTGTATGTCGCTAGGATGCTGCTGCATGGGGGGCGCCTGTTGCACTGAAGACTGGTCATCAGATATAGTAGCAAGGTACTGCCGACCAGGTGCCATGGGCATGGAATGCTCATGCATGTGCGTACTTGGCTCACCATACTCTCTGTGGAAGTAAACATGACCGTGCTGCTGCTGATGTTGATGTGGCTCCTGAAGCTGCTGCTGCTGCTGCTGCTGCTGCTGCTGCTGCTGCTGCTGCTGCTGAATAAATACATGTGCCTGAGATTGATCCACTGCTGGTTGTGACAACAAAGGTTGTTCCATGGGTGGTTGTTGCATGGGTGGTTGTTGCATGGATGGCTGTAGCATGGATGGTGGTTGCATAGGTATTTGTTCCATGGGTGGTTGTTGCATGGATGGTTGCTGCCTGGATGCTTGCTGCACGAGTGATGGTTGTTGCATGGGTGGTTGTTGCATGGGGGGTTGTTGCATGGGTAATTGTTGCATGGGTGGTTGTTGCATGGGTTGTTGTTGCATGGATGGTTGTAGCATGGATGGTGGTTGCATGGGTATTTGTTGCATGGATGGCTGTTGCATGGGTGGCTGTTGCATGGGTGGCTGTTGCATGGGCGATTGTTGCATGGATGGTTGCTGCATGGGTGGCTGTTGCATGGGCGATTGTTGCATGGATGCTTGCTGCACGAGTGATGGTTGTTGCATGGATGGTTGTTGCTTGGATGGCTGTTGCATGGGTGGTTGTTGCATGGGTGGTTGTTGCATGGATGGTTGCTGCATGGATGGTTGCTGCATGGATGGTTGTTGCGTGGGCAGTTGTTGCACGGGTGGCTGTTGCATGGGCGATTGTTGCATGGACGCTTGCTGCACGAGTGATGGTTGTTGCATGGACGCTTGCTGCACGAGTGATGGTTGTTGCATGGACGCTTGCTGCACGAGTGATGGTTGTTGCATGGATGCTTGCTGCACGAGTGATGGTTGTTGCATGGGTGGTTGTTGCATTGCCGGTTGTGTCAGCTGCAATCCTGCTTCCCAGCCCGTCCCAATCTGCCCCTGTTCCTGAACCCGCCTACTGCTGCTTCTGAGGAACTTTGGAAGAACCAGACGCAACGGTTTTGGCTGAGCCACCTCGTGTTGCTGCTGCTGGGGCTGATACTGCTGCTGCTGCTGCTGCTGCTGCTGCTGCTGCTGCTGCTGCTGCTGCTGCTGCTGCTGCTGCTGCTGCTGCTGGTAGTGCTGCTGATGTTGCTGAATCGCTTGCTGCTGCGCTGCTTGTTGTTGCTGCTGCCAAGGGGCCAGACCTTGCTGAATTGGAGTATGCTCCTGCTGCATTTGCTGCTGCTGCTGCTGCTGCTGTTGCCACATCTCTTGCTGCTCATCACCCTGCCTCATCCTTCCCCCACCACCCATCCTCTCCCTCTCCACCTCTCTCCTCTCCACCATCCCAGCCCTTTTCCACGCCTCCTCGTCCAATCCCATCGCGACATCTGGCGCAGACCCCAAACCAGCAGCAGCAGCTGCTGCTGCTTCTCCTGCTACAGCTGGTCCTCTCGAGTGTGCTGCTACAGCCGGAGCCTTATTCGACACCACGTCTCCCAGTGGCCGTCTCTGCACTGCTGCTGGCCTGTGCTGTTGATAAATAGTATCCTGAGATTGCACTAGCTGCAACGGCTGCTGCTGCTGCTGTGTGTACTGTCGTGTGTGTTGCTGCTGTGTGTGCTGTTGGTAATCCGTCTCGTGTGGTAGAAATGGCTGCTGCTGTGTGTGTTCGTGTTGGATGTGGTGCTGATGCTCCTGCTGCTGCTGTTGAAATGGCTGCTGTTGTTGCTGAGAAGCTTCCGGCCCTGACGGATACCAGTGCTCTGGTGGTGGTTGTTGCAGTTCAAACCCCTGCTGTTGCTGCTGCGGCTGCTGCTGTTGTTGCCAGTGCTGCTGCTGACGCTGAAATGGCTGCTGCTTTTGCAGGTGCTGTTGCTGCTGCTGCTGCTGCTGCTGCTGCTGAAACTGCTGCTCTAGTTGCTGAAATTGCTGCTGTTGCTGCTGAAACGGCTGCTGCTCTTGCTGTTGAAATGGTTGGTCGTACTGTGGCAAAGTTGGCAGGTGCTGCTGTTGCTGTTGCTGTTGCTGCTGTTGCTGCTGTTGTTGCTGCTGTTGCTGTTGCTGTTGCTGCTGCTGCTGTTGCTGCTGCCGCTGCTGGTACTGTTGCTGCTGTTCTTGATACAGCTGTCGCTGCTCCTGCTGTTGCTGTTGCTGCTGCTGCTGCTGTTGCTGCTGCTGCTGCATCTGCTGCTGTGTCCCCTCCGCACGACCTCCAGGTAAAGGGTCACTGGCCTCTGTCATCAGCTCATCAAAGCTGCTGCCTGCTGGTAGCACCACACACTCCTCCTGCTGCTGGTGCTGCAGCGGCAGGTGCACTTGCATCTGCTGCAGGGGTGGGTGAGGCTGTTGCTCATAAAAGCTGCTGCCTGCTGGTAGCACCACACACTCTTCCCTCTGCTGCTGGTGCGGCTGGGGTAGGTGCCGCTGGGGTAGGTGCTGCTGGGGTAGGTGCGGCTGGGGTAGGTGCTGCTGGGGTGGGTGAGAGCTGCTGCCCGCAGGTAGCACCACGTATTGCGGCTGCTGCTGTTGTTGTACTGGTTCTTGTATTTGCTGCAGCGGCTGCTGCTGCTGATGATGCTCCTCACCAGGCAATACCGCAAATTCCCCATGCTGTTGAGTGTAATCCTCCTGCTGGTACAGCTGCTGCTGGTGACGCTGCTGCTGCTGTTGCCCCTGCTGGGTGTATTGCTGCTGCTCTACGTGTCGTTGCTGCTGTTGCTGTGATTGATGCTGCTGCTGCTCCTGTTGCTGTAATTGCTGTTGTTGCTGCTGCTGATATGTCTGCTGCTGCTGATGTGTCTGCTGCTGCTGATGATACCGCTGCTTTTGATGATACTGCTGCTGCTGGTACTGATACTGATTTTCCTGTGGCAAGCGCTCTCCCTCTTCCATCCTCCACCCTTCACCACCCCCTCCCGTCCCCTCCATCCCCAACCGTCCCATATTCCCAGTCTCCCCTTCCATCCCTAGCCCCTCCTCCTCTGAAGCCCTTAGGGTCATCTCAGCAAGATGCCTCTGCATCGCACCACCTTGCCACCCTCCCACATCTTGCCCTAGAACATTCATGCTCCCCTCCACCGCTGCGCCTCCAGTGCTCTCTCTTCCCTGCACTGCTGGAACGCCCATGCTCCCCACTGTGGTTGATGATACCTCCTCTGTTGTACCAAGACTGCCCCCACATGCACTCGCACTGCCCGTCATACTCTCCTGCACCCACTCGTGCTGCTGCTGCTGCTGCTGCTGCTGCCGCCATTGTTGTTGTTGCTGCTGCTCCGGCACCTGCCATTGTTGGTGCGAATGTTGAGCCTCCACCTGTTGAAGTGGCACCATCAACTGCTTCTGCTGCTGTTGTTGCTGCGCCGGCTGCTGCTGCGGCTGCAATCGCCAGTTGCTCCATCCACCCGCGTGAAAAAGCCCCCCACTCGCCCTGCCAGACCCACTGCCGCTGCTGCTGCTGCTCCCAATGCTGCCGCCCCTCCTCATCCCCCAGTGAATGCGAGCTGGCGGGAGCACAGGCGCTTTTCCTGAGCCCAGTGCTTGCCTTTGCTGCTCTCTATGCTGCTCTGACTGCTGCTGCTGCTGCTGCTGCTGCTGCTGCTCTGCCTGCTCCTGCTGCTGTTGCAGCTGCTGCTGGTGCTGCTCCTGCTGCTTTGAAAACTGCTGCTCTTGCTCCCACTGAGCCAGCATCTCGGGCATATCCTCGTCTCTTTCCCCAACGAAAGCTGACCCTGCAACAGCAGCATCACCAGCAGCATCACCAGCAGCAGCACCAGCAGCAGCCGCACTGGCAGCAGCACGTGTAACAGCGCCAGCAGCAGCCCCAACAGCAGCTACCATCCCAGCAGCAGCAGTGGTGGCAGCGGTAGAAGCAGGAAAAGGAGGAGGTTCACCAGCAACAGCAGCAGCAGCAGCAGCACCAACAGTCACGGGCTGCACTAGAGGAAAAGGAGGAGACGGACTGCTGAGCTCTGCACTGCCCCTACCAGACCCTCCTGACCACCCGCCGGTTACCCCAATCCTTTCACCCATCCTTTCGCCCCTCCCTTCGCCAGACCATTCCCCAAACCCGCCAATCCGTTTGCCCAATTCGCCTGTCCAGGATTCCTGCCTGATATCGCCCTCCGTTCCTTTTGCCTCCTTATAAAGTTCCCCGCTACTGCTTAACAGCCTTCCCGAACCTCCCGCCCTGCCTGCCCCACGCCCGCCCGAGCCAGCTGCCGAACCATGCAGAGGTCCGGACCTGGCTCGGTACTTCAGTCTGCGTTGACCCAGGCCAGCAGGCTCGGGCCCCGAACCTGCATTGGCAGATGCAGCAGCACAACCCGCAACAACTGCTTCCACTCCTGAAGACGTGTCCGATCCTGCTGACTCAGCAGCGGCTGCTGACTCAGCAGCAAGGCCTGCTGACTCAGCAACTGGGTCTGCTGACTCAGCGCCGCCCATCCTCAGAGGACCAGACCTGGACCTCAATCGCTTGCTGCTGCTGCTGCCGACCAGCCTATCCACCTCTGCCACGTCCCTTAGCGCCTGAATCAAATCCATTTTGGCTGGGTCCCTCACGCCTTGCTTTTCCATGAGGAACGAAAGAGGGCCCAGCAGTTGTTGGGATGGGACTGTGGGTTGCTCGTGCTGCTGCTCTTGCTGTTGCCCTTGCTGCTGCTCGTGCGCATGTGGTTGCGGTTGCAGCTGCGGCTGCGGTTGCTGCGGCGGCTGCAGTTGCGGCTGTAGCTGCTGCTGGTCTGGCGGCGGGTGCCGTTGTCCTTGTCCCTCTACCTTTACTACTGCCGCCTCTACGCCTGTCTCTGTTACCCCACTCGCTTCCAATTGCTGAGGCGCTTCAAAAACCATCTGTTGCCCCTCCACCCTCACAGCCGCCGCTCCAACGGCTGTCTCACTTCCTCTTCCTACTGCCGCCCCTACGGCCGCCCCACTTCCCCGGCCCGCAGCCTTTTCCGATGCTCGTCGAGAAAACGCCGCCGCTATCGCTTTACTAAGCATCCCGCCAGCGATACTGGCGGGTTTCGCCGAAGCTGCGCGGGACGAGGAGGAGGGGGCGGACGAGGAGGAAGAGGAGGCGGAGGAGGAGGAGGGGAGGAAGGGGAATGGGGAGGAGACGCCAGGGCGAGGGTGGTAGGCGAATGAGATGGATATTCGGGCTGTACTCGGTATAGTGCGCCCCTCGTTATCCACAGTGGTGAGGGGAAATTCTTGCTCGCCTTGCTTCTCTAAAGCGTCTCTGTTGGGGAGAGGGGGGAAGTCATGGAGTGGAGAAAAGAGAGGAGAAGTTGAGCAGAGTAAAGAGACTCGGAAGAGACTCGGGGAAGTGGGAAGAAAACGAAACCTTGAAAGACAAAAAACTGTTGAGAAGGATTGGATGGTAAGAGAAACTTGCACCACCTGGGGATAAGAGAGAGCATTAGAGCACAGCAAACCACTTAATGGTGGTTTCAATATACAGGGGAGATTTACGCAGCATACAACACCAAAAAAGATCAACAGACCCAATAACATTCTGGAAATCTCTGCTCATCTATTCACTCGTGTGCTATTTACCTTAACGGAATGTACACAAACGCGAGCAGCTGGTCCTCCGTGGTGCCTCGGTGGTGGCTGGCGAACCAAACCTCGCACTTAACCTCTGTGGCACGCTCGGGAATCCCAACCTGCAGGCAGGTACGGGAAGGGAACAAAGAGAGAACAAAGAAAAAAGCACACACACAGAAACAGGAGATTTAAAAAATAAAGGATAAGTGAGGCGGCTCAAGAATCCCAACCCGCAGGCAGTTTAAGAAGGCAGAAGGAACGAAGAGCGCGAAGGTATACTCTACAAGTGCACCAGAAAAAGGTTACGCCATTGAGAGATTGAAAAACAGAGGGGGGAGAGGTGGTGGGGTTGGGGAAAAAGGAAGGGAGACGGAGGAGGAGGTGGAAGGAAGGGAGGAGAGAAGGGGGTGAGAAACACCATACGGGAAACGAGAGGCTATTTTGGAGTCGACTCAAACAACGAGAGGCTCACTCCGTGTGGTGTTTCTGAGCGTCACTGAATAAATTAATAGGCTTTTTAATCATCTGCGGCGACAACTATTTCAAAAGTCTTTGCCGTGCTACCTATAGCAGTCGATCGAGAACTGAGTTTACCTGCAGCCGTTGATCGAAGACTGGGTCCGTGCCTCCTCCTTTGATAGCCCGCGTCGTGAGTGCGACGCGGCCGAGCGGGTCGCGATCACCGCACAGCACCTTAGCGTACACATCTTGCGCCCCGAGCGTGGAGCGATTCGGTAATCTCTCCGCTTGCAGGATATGGACATCGAGAATACCGACTATGTTCCCTCCTTTTCTCGCCATGTCTCTTTACTCAATTCCCCCCGTTTTAATCAAAATAACGAGCAGTGCTCGTAGCTTAATAAGCACATGTTTATTCAGCAGAATAACTGTCGGCCTTCTCTGAGCGTTAAAGACCCGTAGGTTTCACTAGCCTCGAGAGAAAACGAGAGTCGACAAGACGCTTAATCAATCTGTGGATTTTCCGCGACGATTTTCCACGACCAGGTAATTTCGAGAGAGAAGCTAAGCTCGCGAAGCGGGTGCGAGGTCGTCGAGGGTTTTCGGCGTAAACGGTTTCCAAAAAGGGAGGTGGAATTCTCGATACGACGATTATTGAAATACGTGTTTTTTCGAGAAGAACTCGCGAATGATTCGACGGCGACGTAGAACGCTTGGAGGAGATATAGATGGAACAAAAACGTATCGGTTTCCCAAAATTAGTCTACCAGTGAAAGCTTCGAATCCAAAGAGGCATGGCCATCTACGGATGCAGGCGTGAGACGAGCAGATAAGCTCGGCCGAAGCACCATGGACAAATGAATTCGACACAATTTCAGGTCTCGAGCACGTTTGACATCGAGGCTGGCGCAGCTGCGAGCAGCAGAAGAGACTAAATACACGTGTATCTGAAGCCATGGTGATATCGAGATTCCTGGAGGAAGGGTTGATGCCCGTGCGCGTACACGCAAGCTTAGGCGGGAAGAGTCGAATCGGATTATTTGCGTGTGATAGGGAGAGAGCACAGTAGAGATGAGGAGGAGGGCTGGGCAAAGAGGACCAGGCAGGGTGGGGGCTGGGTATGGCAGAGGAGAAGAGGAGAGCAGCAGCAGACAGGGGGACAACCTTCGGGGGGGTGTGGTGTGGGACTGGTCGGGTCTTCGTCATTTTGGTTCGACAGGGACTATCTCTGGGGTTATAGAGTATACGGATAGGCATGGAAGGGGGATATTTGGTTTGGAGTTGGTTAGGGATAGGTTGGGTACGGGCCCGACCAGGTGATTGGGTACGGTAATCTGGGTTTTGAGGGGCCGAACCGATGGGCTCGGCCGAGGTTCTTTGGTTTGGTGGAGAAGTGAAGCCCCACCCTTGAAATTGGCTCGAGTGAAGTGTTCGAATCGAAAGCATGGGATGGGTAGGGTACTGGCGGGGCAGCATGGAGGAGCAGCTTCGCGTGCGTTGCTGGCGACGGCGGGACTGTAGTTCACCCGGCGCTGAGCGACATTCACTAGCGAAATCGTGGGTTTTGTTTAGCCCTAGTCAAACCAGCGCACACCTACCGAACCAGTAGCAACAAACCATCACCCAGCCACAACAGACCAGATCGTGGTTCGTGGTCAGCACGGTCCAGCAGGGACGCGCAGTGTTCGAACTTAGCACAAAGTTTCTAGAACCAAATAAAACAATCAGGCTGAACATTTCCTCACGGAGTTCACGACCTTCCCCGCACCCGCCTCCCTCACTTCAGACCCCTTTTCCCCCAGAACTTTGGCTAGAAGGACCAAAATTCGGTTGCGGGGAAAAAAAATTGGCCGCTTTACAAAAATTTTGGCCGTCACCCCTCCCACCTCGAGACCCGAACCAATTTGCTCGAGGCTGCGCGTTCGGCATATGCTGACTGGAAGCCGTCAATGTGACTGCAGTCAGATGACTGCCACGCGACGCCGCCAGGCTCACAGCAGCAGCACTTGTTTGATGGCTTGACCGAGCCTCGTGACCTGACGGCAAAGTCAGGCTCGGTAAAGACGTGGAGGCTCGGCGGCGCGACGCGAAGGCTTATCGAATTGGTCGGCGAAAGCCACTTATGTGGCAAAGCTCAGAATCGATGCGACCAAACCCACTGGGATGGGTTTGTGTCGGTGACATGCTCCCCTGATAGGAGGTGGCTTCGTTTCCACCTTGTAAACAAACACTTTTCATAGGGCTGGCCCCATTAGCGATACGAAATACCTGAATCATTATCCACGATTTACTCAACATTGCATTCAGTTTACTGCTTTTGCTCGTAGGGAAATGCTCGCATCTCTTCTCCCCACAATTATCGGATATTTAGCCCAGAAAACCTAGAAAAGCCTCGGGGAAACTTAGAATCTAATACAAGTTGATCAGCTAAGCTTTCGATTCAACAATTGATTTTGCATAGTTCTCAGCCAGCATCTTGGCATACTCCACATGTGCTCAGGTTGGATAGGAGACAAGAGTGTTACTGCCAAGGAGAGAACGACGTGGGCCTTAGGATCTGCTTACTTATAAGTCTAAGCCCGGACGATAAGTGCTCTGTAGTTCCAATCACAGAGTTGCTAGCCTGCAATAGAGGGTGCAAAAAAGGAACACAGACAGAGTGGGAAGAGGGAGGCACAAAACGCATTTGAGGTGATGAATATCTGCAGTGATTAGCACGACAAACACAGAATGAATCAGGTGTTCCCATCGAGGAAACGGCAGAACAAGGTGCTTAACTAGAGGCGACAAACCTTCTGAAACGACCAAGAGATATAACGCAAAAGAGGAAGCCGAGGCAACTTCAATTTAGTCAGCAAACGAGAGACAGAGGGATGGGAGGGGAGAGGAGCCATAGATCAGAAGTGTGTGCAAAATCACTAGGGCCGCCAATCACAGGGTGTGATGATGGGTGCCAGTGCCAGAAAAATCACAGCTCTAGAGATGCAATTAAAGCCCGATGAAGGGTGCCCCAACCTTATCCGCTAGATAACAGTCGGTGGTGGTAGAGTGGCACCACAGCTCTAGGGCACTGTATGGCCTGCAGGCAAGCACGGGTGGGGAGAGCGGGAGTGCATGAAAGCAGAAAGAGAGATGTGTGTTGCTGAGTAGTGGCAGCACAGTTGGCGGTGCTGCAGTGGCGCCACAGCCCTCGGTCACTGTGTGGACTGCAGACAAGAAAGGGTGGGGAGAGTGGGGCCGCCAGAGACAGAGTGTGTTAACAGGTGCGCTAGCTTATTGGCTAAGTAGCAGACGGTGGTGGTAGAGTGGTGCCACAGCTCTAGGGCACTGTATGGCGTGCAGAGGCAAGCATGGGTGGGGAGAGTAGAAAGGTACAAACGGCACAGTGCGTTACAGAGGTGTCTGTGTGGCCTGCAGACAAGAAAGGGTGGGGAGAGTGGGGCCGGGCACCACAGCCCTAGGGCACTGTATGGCCTGCAGAGGCAAGCATGGGTGAGAAGGGCACAGCAAGGGTGGCAAAATTGTTTTTGAATATTTTAAAAAACAATCTACATCGCCTTGGGCACTTTATGGCCTGCAGAGGCAAGCAAGGGCCTTTTCAAGCATGGGTGAAAAGGGCACAGCAAGGGTGGCAAAATTGCCTCTGCAGGCCATACAGTGGAAGGAGGGTCGAGTTGGTATCAGTATCATTCTTTTGAGGCTCCTCAGAATTCCCCTGAGATACTGGACTAGCACACAGAAGGAAGCGAAGGGAAGGAGAGCATAAGGAAATGTTCAAACATGCCAGGAAGGAGAAGGAGATGTTGCTATGGAAATAGCAAGAGAGGGAAGAAAAAGACCATGTGTAATGTAGCTTCTCTAATGGACGCGAGAGTATGATCACTTTAGAGAAGCTACATTAGAGGCCGGACACTTTACATGGGTGAATCGATGGAAATAACTAGAAGTATAGATTATGCACGGAAAGAAAGAAAAGGTTATAGTGCAATTTGGTAGCCAGCATTTTCGGAGACGTGACAAGTAAAGAATGGTTACAGTGACAGAGTGTTACCCGGCGTCAGAGCTTCCAAAGAAGAGGCAGCGAGAGGAGGGAGCTTTTCTAAGTGGACCCAAGAGTCAGCTTCTAACATGTGTAAATGATGGTACAGAGTGAGACGAATGTTACCCGGCGTCAGAGTTTCCAAAGAAGAGGCAGCGAGAGGAGGGAGCAGCCGTCAGGCGAGCGGAGAGGCTGTGAGAGAGGCAGGGGGGGAAGGGCAGGGGTGAGAGGGCAAGAGGTTAGAGTGTAAGGTGTTGCTTTGTGGCGTTTAGCCCAGTCACTAGAGAGGTCACGAGAGGAGGGAGCAGCCGTCAGGCGAGCGGAGAGGCTGTGACACAGCGGAAGGAGAAAGGCATGGCAGGGGTAAAGAGGGGGGGAAGGGGAGAAGGGGTTAGAATGCAAGCTGATGGTTTGTGGCATTAGCGCAGGTAACAGAGAGGCAGCGAGAGGAGGGAGCAGCCGTCAGGCGAGCAGAGAGGCTGTGAGAGAGGCGGGAGAGAGGCGGGAGAGAAAGGCGGGGATGAGAAAGGCAGGGCATGGATGAGAGGGGCGAGAGGGGGAAAAGAGGGTAGAGTGCAAGCTGATGCTTTGTGGTGTTAGCGCAGGAAACAGAGAGGCAGCGAGAGGAGGGATGCAACGATGGAGGGATGCAACGATGGAGGGATGCAACGATGGAGGGATGCAACGATGGAGGGATGCAACGATGGAGGGATGCAAGATGGAGGGATGCAACGATGGAGGGATGCAACGATGGAGGGATGCAACGATGGAGGGATGCAACGATGGAGGGATGCAACGATGGAGGGATGCAACGATGGAGGGATGAGGAGGCAGAGGGAGGATGGCGCAACCTCTTACACCCCAGGAATGGTGATGGCGGTGGTGGTGGTGGTGGTGGTGGTGGTGGTGCTGGTGGTGGTGCTGGTGGTGGTGCTGGTGGTGCCGCCGCCGCTGCCGCCGCTGCCACTGCTGGTGCTGTTACTACTAACCGTATAGTGAACGAATCTTGAATGATGTCTCTTGCAGTGGGGCTCCCACCCTCGCCCCGTGCCTCGTAGCATCGCAGCTCATACACCCCGGCGGGGGATGCTGATGGGGGTAGTGATGCTGGTGAGAAGGAGGAGAAGGAGGAGGTGGAAGGGGGCGAAGAAGAAGCAGAAGCACTTGCTGCCTCTGCCACTGCAGCCATGCACTTGGAATCTTCCAGGAAAATGCTCGACTCCTGCAGCCCAGAAAAACCCAAGATCACACGGGGAAAGTAAGAAGGCGAAGGGAGAAGGCGGAGAAGAAAGAAAGACAAACAGTTCAGTTCAGCACAGTTATGAGGAGCCTCAAAACTAGGCACAGCACCCCTCTAATTGACTCGAGTACACACTGCAGCCCACCAATACACAGAGTCGACTCTACTTCCCCCTCACCTGTGACTGGAACGTTGGTTTCACCAGAGAGGCAAAATCTTCATTTGATTCTCAAAGTGAAAGGCTCCCAAAGAGTGGTGGGTCTGGCTGTGACAGCCCTTCACTTTGAGAATCAATTGAAGAATCCCTCTCTGCTGGTTTTTGAGAATTCTCCAAAACCTTCAGTTTGAGAATCAATTGAAGAATCCCTCACTGCTGGTTTTTGAGAATTCTCCAAAACCTTCAGTTTGAGAATCAATTGAAGAATCCCTCACTGCTGGTTTTTGAAAATTCTAAAAAACCTTCAGTTTGAGAATCAATTGAAGAATCCCTCTCTGCTGGTTTTTGAGAATTCTCAAAAACCTTCAGTTTGAGAATCAATTGAAGAATCCCTCACTGCTGGTTTTTGAAAATTCTAAAAAACCTTCAGTTTGAGAATCAATTGAAGAATCCCTCTCTGCTGGTTTTTGAGAATTCTCAAAAACCTTCAGTTTGAGAATCAATTGAAGAATCCCTCACTGCTGGTTTTTGAGAATTCTAAAAAACCTTCAGTTTGAGAATCAATTGAAGAATCCCTCTCTGCTGGTTTTTGAGAATTCTCAAAAACCTTCAGTTTGAGAATTAATTGAAGAATCCCTCACTGCTGGTTTTTGAGAATTCTCAAAAACCTTCAGTTTGAGAATCAATTGAAGAATCCCTCTCTGCTGGTTTTTGAGAATTCTCAAAAACCTTCAGTTTGGGAATCAATTGAAGAATCCATCTCTGCTGGTTTTTGAGAATTCTCAAAAACCTTCAGTTTGAGAATCAATTGAAGAATCCCTCACTGCTGGTTTTTGAAAATTCTAAAAAACCTTCACTTTGAGAATCAATTGAAGAATCCCTCTCTGCTGGTTTTTGAGAATTCTCCAAAACCTTCAGTTTGAGAATCAATTGAAGAATCCCTCACTGCTGGTTTTTGAAAATTCTAAAAACCTTCAGTTTGAGAATCAATTGAAGAATCCCTCTCTGCTGGTTTTTGAGAATTCTCCAAAACCTTCAGTTTGAGAATCAATTGAAGAATCCCTCACTGCTGGTTTTTGAAAATTCTAAAAAACCTTCAGTTTGAGAATCAATTGAAGAATCCCTCTCTGCTGGTTTTTGAGAATTCTCCAAAACCTTCAGTTTGAGAATCAATTGAAGAATCCCTCACTGCTGGTTTTTGAAAATTCTAAAAAACCTTCAGTTTGAGAATCAATTGAAGAATCCCTCTCTGCTGGTTTTTGAGAATTCTCCAAAACCTTCAGTTTGAGAATCAATTGAAGAATCCCTCACTGCTGGTTTTTGAAAATTCTAAAAAACCTTCAGTTTGAGAATCAATTGAAGAATCCCTCTCTGCTGGTTTTTGAGAATTCTCAAAAACCTTCAGTTTGAGAATCAATTGAAGAATCCCTCACTGCTGGTTTTTGAAAATTCTAAAAAACCTTCAGTTTGAGAATCAGTTGAAGAATCCCTCTCTGCTGGTTTTTGAGAATTCTCCAAAACCTTCAGTTTGAGAATCAATTGAAGAATCCCTCACTGCTGGTTTTTGAAAATTCTAAAAAACCTTCAGTTTGAGAATCAATTGAAGAATCCCTCTCTGCTGGTTTTTGAGAATTCTCCAAAACCTTCAGTTTGAGAATCAATTGAAGAATCCCTCACTGCTGGTTTTTGAAAATTCTAAAAAACCTTCAGTTTGAGAATCAATTGAAGAATCCCTCTCTGCTGGTTTTTGAGAATTCTCCAAAACCTTCAGTTTGAGAATCAATTGAAGAATCCCTCACTGCTGGTTTTTGAAAATTCTAAAAAACCTTCAGTTTGAGAATCAATTGAAGAATCCCTCTCTGCTGGTTTTTGAGAATTCTCCAAAACCTTCAGTTTGAGAATCAATTGAAGAATCCCTCACTGCTGGTTTTTGAAAATTCTAAAAAACCTTCAGTTTGAGAATCAATTGAAGAATCCCTCTCTGCTGGTTTTTGAGAATTCTCAAAAACCTTCAGTTTGAGAATCAATTGAAGAATCCCTCACTGCTGGTTTTTGAAAATTCTAAAAAACCTTCATTTTGAGAATCAATTGAAGAATCCCTCTCTGCTGGTTTTTGAGAATTCTCAAAAACCTTCAGTTTGAGAATCAATTGAAGAATCCCTCTCTGCTGGTTTTTGAGAATTCTCAAAAACCTTCAGTTTGAGAATCAATTGAAGAATCCCTCTCTGCTGGTTTTTGAGAATTCTCAAAAACCTTCAGTTTGAGAATCAATTGAAGAATCCCTCTCTGCTGGTTTTTGAGAATTCTCAAAAACCTTCAGTTTGAGAATCAATTGAAGAATCCCTCTCTGCTGGTTTTTGAGAATTCTCAAAAACCTTCAGTTTGAGAATCAATTGAAGAATCCCTCTCTGCTGGTTTTTGAGAATTCTCAAAAACCTTCAGTTTGAGAATCAATTGAAGAATCCCTCTCTGCTGGTTTTTGAGAATTCTCAAAAACCTTCAGTTTGGGAATCAATTGAAGAATCCATCTCTGCTGGTTTTTGAGAATTCTCAAAAACCTTCAGTTTGAGAATCAATTGAAGAATCCCTCTCTGCTGGTTTTTGAGAATTCTCAAAAACCTTCAGTTTGAGAATCAATTGAAGAATCCCTCTCTGCTGGTTTTTGAGAATTCTCAAAAACCTTCAGTTTGAGAATCAATTGAAGAATCCCTCTCTGCTGGTTTTTGAGAATTCTCAAAAACCTTCAGTTTGAGAATCAATTGAAGAATCCCTCTCTGCTGGTTTTTGAGAATTCTCAAAAACCTTCAGTTTGAGAATCAATTGAAGAATCCCTCTCTGCTGCCCACCATGCATGCTGCCCTCTCAATCAATTCAAAGGTACCCTTGCCAGTCGACCGCCTTAGTGAGTCCAGTCTACTGCCCTCACTCACACCTGCCCACTCTACTGCCCTCACTCACACCTGCCCACTCTACTACCGCCAGTGGAGTGTGGGGCAAAGGGAGGGGGAGGAGGGGGAAGAGGAGGAACAGGGTTGAGCGTGGGTGTAATTCTCCCACCTCATCCCTCTTTTCTCACCCGCCTTTGACATGTGGGGCAAAGGGAGGGGGAGGAGGGGGACGAGGGGGAGGAGGGGGACGAGGGGGAGGAGGGGGAGGAGGGGGAGG